TCATCTCTGGGCAGTAACGTTTGTACGATGGGTGAATTATTTCGACGTTATTGAGGTATGTAAATCACCCTGGGGTAACGCTAATTAACGTATGCGAGTCCATTATTGAGATTACTGCAGTGACATTTTTTTTATTCTACCAATATATATTAATGCAAAGGCTTCATTCAAAACGATACTTTCTTGGTTTATATATACACACAATATAACATAACATAGTATTACAATACCTTTAAGCTAGACAGATACTCCATTCCATTGGCGATATTCAATACGAATGAAATCAGTTCTTTATTCGGAGCTTCCATGGCCTTATATGTGTGCTGCGATTGGAGAAATGTCTTCAAGTCGACATTTAAATGATCCAGTATTATGAAACTTGGAGCTAAAGAGATATATAATAGTCACTGCATGTAAAGTTCATATGATGCATCACATTTTTCAAGAGTTGCATTTTATCAGTTTACCCACCTTTTTCTGTACAACACCCAAGTATTCGAATTATATTACTGTTTCCACGTATTGATTGCAGTATTTCTATTTCCTTCACAATTTCATTTTCTACCAGAGGATCTCCGTCTGAAAATGGGTATCAGGGATTACGTAATTTATATTTTGTTAGGGAAGCAAATAAATATAATACAATTGAATGTTTCACTAAATACTCACTACTACTCTTCTTAATAACTACATCAATATGTCCAGATACGCCATCAATGTTCCATGCTTCTGCCTTACTGATTTCATACAACTTCCCAGTCGAAATAATACTCTTGATACAAACACGATCTCTTGGAAATTCTATTGTCTTCTGTCCTGATTTCATGTAAACAACTTCATTTTTGTCAAATGAAAGTTTAGCATATTTCTCGTCTTCATTCTGCAACAAACAAACAATTTGTAATTTAGTAAAATAGAATGTGGGTTTATGAAAAGCAAATCTTCGAAAAAGGACACACAGTTATCATATTTCATATTATTGTACTCACTTTAGTGGGCCCGATTTTCTCAATAGATTCATAAGCGACGTCTGCATTCTTATCAGATTCCAACTTATTTTCAATTTCTGAGTAATCTGTCAATATTGTTAACATTAAAGTACAATGTAATCACCAAACTGATATAGGAATAATACTGATATAACACATTATTGTGGCGCGATCTAAATCTCAATTCAGCGTAGATGTTCAAAATGTTGTTCAGGACAAGACAAAATTATCAAATAGGGAAGATGTTATTATAAATACAAAGCAAGGATAATATTCTAAAAGTATACAGAAGAAGAAATCAACTAAATAACTAATAACATTTATGTTAATATTATACTCACCTCCAGCCACATTTTCGTATCTTCTCTCATCCAAAACTGTGTCGTCTGCCGAGAAAAATACTTTTTGTTATGTTTTGTTGTGAAGTATAATAATAATACTATGTTTATTATGATTGTTAACTGGCATGAAGATTGTAGAAATAAACATAATAGTACACTGATTGTATCAAGCTAATTCTGCATACCTGCGTTTTTTCTATGTTGACGTTTTCTTTTCAAAATGTTATAACAGGTACAATCGTAATCGCCAACAAAATAAGGATTACACTTGGCACGACGTATACTGCAGCGTTAGTATATTTGGGATTACTGCCATAAGCACTGCTTGATGGCTTAGCTGAAAAATATACATTTTTATCGTGTTAAATAAGATGGAATAGCTATAACAATTGTTTTACATTATTAGAAAAAATATACATTTAATACTCAAGAATGTGTCACGTGATTGGTTACTGTTTACCAAATGTATTTCGAACAACAATAAACTTTATCGTAAGTTCACTATAGTGTTATCATTTTTTGATACACTCTAAATTAATGGCGTGTTTTATACCGTGTGTTCTGAATGATGTCCCTAACGAGAGCGCAAGCAACTTTATTTAAAACAATAGATGAGAATGTACATGAAATATTGGCGTAGGTATTTACATGTATACATTTTAAAGACGAGACTCACGTTCATATGACATTTTTTTATCAAAATTAACTTTTTGTCATTTCCGAATACACAACACAATCTTCTTTATTTTGTACAGATACATTATACATTTGATGTTCTAAATATGACTCCCAATCTGAATTCATTCAGTGGCAGTGCCAGTGTTTCATTTGTAGTGTAACCCTGGAGCACATTAGTAATTGAGAAAATTGTCCAATGAAAACAATATTTCCAAAATAACAGTGACAGGGATTAAATCCCGAGGATAATGTTTAGCATTATAAATCTCCACTAAATTGAGGTGTATGATAGCAAATGTCTGATACTGCATCACTATGTTGGGTGTCATCGACCAGCTTGTGGTTTACTCTACAATGTAGATATAATTGTCAAATAAAACTACTTACTTTTTCCTTGGAATATTACAATAAATGTTGTATTTGCAAAGTCACTTTTAGCAAAACATGTGTAGTTACCATAATCATCAGATTCAGTTTTACTAATTGTAATTATGCTTTCATGTAATGTTCCGTGTGTAGAATTGGATATTGTAATTCTGTCATTGGTAGTTAGTACAGATCCATTTAGACTAATCCACTGTAGTGTAGAGGTAGGGTTGCTATTAATTTGACATCTTAATTCTCCTGTTTCCCCTTCATTAGCTCTTGACTTTTCATTCCGTGTTTTATTCACTGCAATGGGTGTGTCTGGGAAGCAATAACTATATTGTTAACTATATCTATACGGCAAGTGAAAAGAAATAACAACAAAAAATAACAAGCCATGAATGGCACAGTTCCTGTTAGTTATAGAATTTAAGATATATATAAACATTTCAGGAATATGATTATGATGATTGTTTAACATTAAAATGATTAACAATTTTATGAGATCATCAAAGGAGTACTTGTCCATATTGAGAGATATTGCTCTGGAACAGCATACATTAAAACAAAATCAAATCATGTCAGAGATATAGCTCTAAAAGCCCATTCATTAAAACAAAATGGCCGCCAGTCAGCCATTTTGAATCCACTCTGAAAAATAAAATGACTTGCATCAGGAACACGTAATAACGAATGTATATACCAATTTTGACCAAATTTCCCCATAAATGCCATAAATGCTTGATATTTGATGATTCGGGCATTGTTAATAGGATCGTCAAACCAATATAACTGTTTGTCTAAGACATGTATAATGAATATTTAAAATTTGAACATAATCAGTCAAAGAAAGTCAGAGATATGGCGCTAGAACCACATTCATTAAAACAAAATGGCCGCCACATGGCTATCTTGAATCTTATCTGAAAAACATTAATCACCAATAAACAACTTCACTCTGTCATCTTTGATGACAGTGGAACCAAAAAGACATTTGATAACAATAACAAATATTGTTATTATTGTATTATGTGTTTCTATTTGTGTATTTCTATATGTATGTATGTATTAAATTGCCTTCGATAAATGAAGACTATAGACTTCATGTAAATGTTCCAAATGTCAAGGAACTTATCAGTCTAGCCTTTATTGAATCATGACATGTTGACATTAAATAACGCAACAAAGAAAAGTCAACATGGGTGCCAGTGACTTGGCGGAGACTTTTTAGTTGTCACATGTTTAACCAGACTGGTCACTGGTTTTGCTTTCTACTTGGTTTTCTAATTTACTGGTGAAATATATGTTTTGACACAAAATGTCTGAATTTGTTTGCAATAATTATCCATATCCATCTTACTATGGAGGTCAATGGATTACTCCTGTGTACATGATGGTCAATGAATTAACATTGATTTTGTCATGTGAATACCACACATGTGGAAATCCAAGAAATGAAGTCGAATGAAAAAAGTGATAGTTGCCCACAAATCAATAATAATTTTGTATCTGTTTCACATTAAAATACACCTGCCAGATTCTTCATTTGTATTGTTGCCTTCATTCTATCTTTGAAATAAAATTTTAGTTTGTTAATTGGAAAAAAATTACATATATATAGATAATTTGTAATCCATTTAAAAATGCTAATTCATACAAAATATAAAGCTGTATACAATATTAAGCCTTCCAACAATACTTTGTATAAACGTTTGTAAACATGTTTAGTCTACCAACAAATGTGCAGTGGCTTTGCTCTCACATTTGTGGAATATGTTCCATCAATATGTGGACTTTCAATAATATACTGATACAATGAGAAATTTCTCCACAATTAAACATTTACATAAACTTCTGTCTACGTCTAAGTCAAATGTAATAACTCATGTGTATTATGGGTCATGTATGATACAACATAATCACAAGTGTACACATTACAGCTAATTTTTCAACAAAAACTATTCAATATAACTGTAATTTGCATATTATTTAATTTGCATACTGGAACGTTGTTACTTGGACACTGTTTACCATGAGTTTATCGCCTGCAACTAAAAAAGCATTTTATTTTTGTCATCAATATAGACACTTTTTTAATATACAAGGATAAGTGGTCTACACAAATCGCACTATATACAGTTGGGAAACCAATATCATA